CCCCCTCCCCAGTTTCCCGAAACTCCGAATCTCCCACAATCCTCGCATTTCCAATTCCCAAAAGGCCAGTAACGCATCGCACGCTCATCAAAAATGAACTCAAAACTCCGCCACGGCAACAAATAAACTTCTCAGAAACATACCAACTACATCTTCAAGCACTATAAAAATGTTTGTACCGACTGCAATACATTTCTAGGTTTCATCAAGACCATAGTAGGCACATTCACTACCATTTAGAGATGAATCAAATTGGCTAAAATCAACTTCAACTCGTATAAATAAAAGGGAATAGTACGGATGTCGCAGTTGATAGCCGAGGTGACCGCGATCCGGATATTTAGAGGAAACAGCAATGTATCGATTGGTAAGTGTTTTCAAATTGATATTGGATTTAAGGTCTTTGACCTTTATATTATGTGAGGGTTAAAATGGGCAGTCAGGTGAAAGTTTTAGGTCTAGTTAGACACTAGGTTATTCCCTATGTGTGACTGGAGGTGTAAACCTAAATTTGGTTGATTAAATTATCTAAGGACTAAATAGTTACCTAGTACTTTGGACATAATAAATATAGCCAAATAATACGCGGTCTATAATCTAGTCTAATTTTTCAAAAATTCCATCCAAAGGTTGTCTGGAAGAAATCGCCGCGTCTGATAAGACCGCCCATTGTACTCAAATTACTATTGAAATGCTTACATTTTTTTTCTATGTGTACAATAAAGTATAAATAAATAAATAATTTTATGGACATTATGAAGTTTTCCATAAGTTTCAAGTGTTCCAAAGTCTCTGCCTACCCCCCTAGGATCGAGACAGACAGGTTATGTATGTATGATGAAGGTTTGCTAGAAACTACTAGAAAGTGTGAGTTACATTACAGAATTGTCATAATTGTAATAGGGGGTGAACCTATTGCCATATACAGGGCACATTTCGTGCTACTACTGAGTACCTAATTAAAAAAACCTAATAATATTTTGCCCCACCCCGGAAATCGAACAAGATTGGACCCTTGCCCGGCAGTCGTACTTGCGACCATTCGGCCAATGAGGTAGTCTGATGATAATTATATCTTGTTAAGTTACTACATTATTACAAGTTCTATAGCGTCCCATTTTATTTCATCATTTTTTTATCTCCTGTATCATTATCTCGACTTTTCACCTTCCAGATAACGGTCCTGTGTCTCTTAGCAGCAGTGCAGTCAGCACCAACACCCATAGTGATCTACCCATCATTCGGCTACCCTCTCACCTCAGTGTACCACGCACCTATACTTGCGCACGCACCGTTGATCCATCACCGCGTCTCCTTTGCCCATGCGCATTCCATATTACATGGGTTTCATTCTCCAGTTATATTTTAGATATGAAGAAGATACTTATACATCCAATGATCATTATACCTCGATCGTAGGTTTTATGATAATATAAGATATTTTTGAAGTAGTTTTTAAGTAATTGTAATTATTTCTTAAGTTGAAAGCTATGTCTGTAAAAAAGGATAAAAAAACAATATTAACACGTACTGTTATATGTACTATTTCTAGATAAGATGATTTATGCCTGGATATGAAATGTTTTAAAACACCTGGCGAACAGACAAAATATAATACAACACAATATAATATAATTTCTCTTTCTATTATTCAAGAAGGTTTATTATGATTTTTTAGTACCTAATAGAAAATAAAATTTTGAACTTTAAGCTTATTCAAATACCCTTGAAAACTTAATACCTGAACTCATAAAACACAACTATAATTTTAATGAGAAAAGAAATAGTTTGTTATCCATAAAATTTTCCAATAATATGTAGCTGAACCGTCAATTAAAAATCCATTGAACATTTTACATTGGTTATCAGTTTTCAGCTAAGGAGTTATTTAATTGTTTAAAAATGAATTTAAATAATATTTTGTTGTTTGTTCAACAACATAACATTACGCCTTTTATGCTCGAAGGGGTAGGCAGAGATGCACATTATGCCGCTGTACAATGTAACACCCATTTTTCACTATTTATGTTATGAGTCCCATGTAATAGGGGGTGAGCCTATTGCCATATACCGAGCACATTTCCAGATTCCGCGCTACTACTGAGATTTTTTTTAAAACCCAGTAATACCTACTTTGCCCGACCCTTAAATATTAATTTAACTACATTAATGTATTTAAATGTATTATTATGTACTATAATTATATCAGATATCTTACCATACCTCTAAACACCTCTCTTTAATTACAATTATTAATTGTAATGAATTGATTTCACAAGTGTAAAGCACTCTCATAATAACAGTACACAAGAGAGTGACCTATGTTTAGTCCTATACTAGTCTAGATTTAACATGTATGTGACAATGAGCTGTGATAGACGCTCATTCATCATATCTAATCTCTCCTTACGATCGTAATTTATAAAGCATTGTATAAGACAAAAGTGTTGCATTACATAAATAAAAGATTGAAATTATTAAATACTAACTTTAACCCGCAATTTTACTCGCATGAATTTATCATGAAAAGTATTCCTTCTCTGTAATTTCAACTACACAATTATGCAACATTTTAGTTGAGCTGAAAAGCATAGTGAGATAACTAACAAACCGACTTTCACATTATAGTAATATTAGTTAGGACTTGAACTAAAAATGTAAAGTCTATTTTAGTTTTTTAGTACTTTTTAAGGCGCTAATTTTATGTAGGTCAAGATCATTACCATCTTGTTCTGTCAATGTAATTATCCAGATCGCTGGTCACA